TTTAATTTTTAATTTTTAATTTTTAATTTTTAATTTTTAATTCTTAATTTTTAATTTTAATTTTCTAAAATTAGTAATTTTCTATAATAAATAATACTAATTTATTATATTTGTATTCTAATTATTATTCTAAATAAATAAAAATAAATAATATAATTGTTTAAAAACAAATTAATTTAAAATAAAATAATAAATTGTTTCTATATTTATGGAAAATTTAATGTAAAGATATTTTAAAGTAATTTTCAGGGTATAATCAAATGTCATTTTCGTAAAAAAAATTCCATTCAAAGATTTCAAAGTTTATTATTAATTGTTGACAAAAAAAAGTTGCGCCAGCAATAAAAAGAAAAAATTAATTTTCTTTATTATTTTCAACATTCTAATTTTCAACTTTCTCATAGAAATGTAAAGAAATTAGAAATTTTCCTTATTAAATTCTTTCGAGAGAACAAATTTCTAATTTCATTCGCATTTTTTTTTTTTTTTTTTATTATTAAGAAAATTAATAGTCTTCTTCATTCTGCGGGTCAGTTTAAAATGAAAAAAAAGAAAAAAAACTTTTGCAATTAAATTGACAAACGTGTAAAAGAAAAAAAATAACATTTAAATAAAGTACCCGCATTCACCTGAACATTTGACCAATAAATTGTCATTGGTTGCGAGAGAGAGGAGGGAGAGGGAAAAATTGTATAAAAAAATCATTCCTGCGAGAGTATTTGATTTATTAAGAGTCGAGAACTTGACATTTGCAAAATTATTAAAAGAAATATGCCCTCGGCATTAAATTGATCGCTATTGAGAACAAATACATTGTAACGCGATGTTCTAATAAAAATAATATATGTAATAATAATAATGAAAAAAAGACTCTTCTGTTATATTTGAAAAAGGAAAAAAAAAATTCTGTAAAATTAAACAAGGATGAAGAGAGAGAGAGAGAGAGACACACATGAATCATGATTATCGATTCGTTAGGAGTTTATAAGAAGGTCATGAAAAATATATACACGAAGGACAAATATTTATCTTTAACTGAGATGATAGTACCATTTTTTCATGTGAAAATTATAACAATCTTTTATATTTTGTTTATTATTTTATAGACGCGATAATATTTTTTTTTTTTGTTTTATTTTTTAAGAGGCTCACTAAACTCCCGTTAATTATTGCGTAGAACAAAATTTATTAGGAATTTCTTCGAGTAAATTAATTATTTATTATTAATTTAATCAATTGATTAATTAATTAAATTTAATTAAATTCATTAATTAAATTCATTTAATCAATGAATTTATTACTTGACAGAAGATTTATTGACTTGAAAAATTAATTAATTGATTGACAATTTATTAATTTATTACATTATTTATTTATTTAAAAATACGTTCCTAGTTGAGAATTTTTTTTTATTTGACAATATTATTTATTGATTTTATAAATAAGTTAATTGACAGTTTATTGGTTCAATAAATTAATTATTCAATGGGCAATTCATTGATTTATAAATAAACTAGTTATTAAATATTAATTGAAGAAATAAATAAATTAATAACAAAATTTTGGAATTAATAAATTAATTTTCAATTACAACCATAGAAAAAAATTATTTTAAAAAGTAAATTTCTGTAGTTTTTTGTGTGTTATAGTGAGCCTACTTTTTCGTTACACTTTTTCTTAATAAATAATAAATTAATCGAATTTAAAATTTTTTTTTTTTTTTTGTAAGTATACATTATTTTTTCAAAACTATTGTCAAAACAGCACGAGCATGAAATATATATAAATAAAAAATATATAATACGAAAAATTAGAGACAATTTAGAATGAAACAGTATTTATAATAAAAACTATTTAGACGATTTTATATAAACAATTGTATATGGCCCCCAATAGTTAAAAGAAACAAAAATAATATTAATAATAATAATAATAACACACAGTTTTTTCTTGCGTCGAAATATTTCTATAGACATCTACATTAAATATTATAATTATTATTGTAGAACCATTAAAATTGTATGATTCAAATAATTTCTCAAAAATTGAGTAAATATTCAATTATATTACAATTGAAACGAATATTTCATAAAAAAACAAAAATGTGTATCATAATGAGCTGATAATTACAGACACTGCCCCTTCTATACAGATAAACTTTCTTGAAGACGCCATGTGTGCGTGTATGAGTGTGAATATTATAAATAAACTCTTAGAAATTTTAGTAAAAAAAAAAAATGAAAATATTTATGTTTCACCGTTAAAAGTAAATTTTCTCTTTTTGACTAATTTTTAAAGGTGTAATTAATTACTTCGACTATTTTTTAATATTATTTGGTTTATTATTTTCCTTATTTTATTTTTTCATTACTTTCTTTTTTTTAAATTATTCTAAATTTATTCATCCATTAGGGAGAAACTAATTCGAATAAAAAGTCCACTTATATTTTAATTAATTCATTTCTGAGTAAAATCGAAATTTTATTATTTTGCTTATTATATTCATTCGTATTGGTGAAAAAAATTCCGACTGACTAAATAACGTTTGTTATTTACAAATATTTTTTAGTGACTTTGTAATTTTTGTTCGAAACTTGGACTATTTTTTTTTCTTTTTATTTTCTTACTGACGTCATTGTATAAATATTTTTATTTTCCTTAGAAAAAAAAATAATCGTTTTCATTTATTTTTTCTATATAAAGATAAAAGGAGAAATTTTGAAATCGAAAACGAAATGCGAAAAAAATAGTATTTTGTGCTCAATAATATTTTCAGACTATTGAATATTCATTGAAAACAGTAGAAGCGTGATATACTTTTTATTCGTCAAACGATTCATTTCCAGATGGTTTATGCCCAATGGGAAGTAAACGATTGGTTCAATAATGGGCCATGCTTGGCGAACTCCGTTCCATTATTGGAACATTAATGGCAACCATCATTGGACCACCAATGGTTTAAACTTGGGATGATCACGCTACTGCCAATGATCGGTAGCCAAGCATCGGGCCAATATTAGTTGCCAAGGAATTGCCAAGGAAACAAAATCGATTTTCAAAAGCTTGATTTTTTATTGGCAGCCAACAAAAAACCAAGGTTTTGAAAATTTATTTTTTTTAATTATTAATTAAAATTTATTTTTCAAAAATTTATATTTAAAAAAAATATATTTTTCAAAAATTTATTTTAAAAAAATATATTTTTTTAAATTAATAGAACATATTAATTTAATTTGTCACCTCTGGTAAAACAAAGATGAAAGACTGATAAATTCCCTCACTTTATATCTTACAGTGGAGGGATAACTGTGAATGTCTTTGCGAGAGAGGAGCAGGTACTTATATAGAGCCAGTGAAACAGGTCACAAGCGAGAAGAAATCACTAGCATGCACTCTGGCGGCGCTTGTCGGAACTGTTTTCTGGCGCGCATGCATATCCTGACATTATCGACGCAGCGCTTGGCAACCAACGTTGCGCCACTTCCGACAAGCGCCGCCAGAGTGCATGCTAGTGATTTGTTCTCGCTTGTGACCTTTCTCACTGGCTCTATATAAGTACCTGCTCCTCTCTCGCAAAGACATTCACAGTTATCCCTCCACTGTAAGATATAAAGTGAGGGAATTTATCAGTCTTTCATCTTTGTTTTACCAGAGGTGACAAATTAAATTAATATGTTCTATTAATTTAAAAAAATATATTTTTTTATAATAAATTTTTGAAAAATATATTTTTTTTAAATATAAATTTTTGAAAAATAAATTTTAATTAATAATTAAAAAAAATAAATTTTCAAAACCTTGGTTTTTTGTTGGCTGCCAATAAAAAAATCAAGCTTTTGAAAATCGATTTTGTTTTCTTGGCAATTCCTTGGCAACTAATATTGACCCGATGCTTGGCTACCGATCATTGGCAGTAGCGTGATCATCCCAAGTTTAAACCATTGGTGGTCCAATGATGGTTGCCAATTGTTTTGCCAAGAAAAAACCATTGGGTACCAAGCATGGCCCATTATTGAACCAATCGTTAACATTGGCAACTTCCCGTTGGGTGGTCAAACGCTGCAAAAATTTCATATTGGTGGAAACAATTGTACCGCAGTAAAAAAAAAACAGTTCATAAAAGAATTAAATATCTATTTCCATTTTTTTTTCTTTTGGAATTATTTTTTTTGTTTTTTGAAATAATATTAGTTTGTCAACATTGACTTTCAATTCGAATAGCAATGATAAAGTGGAAATATTTATAATTATTTCTGGAAAAAAGCCGCGGACAATTTTTGTTTTTAATTAAAAAAAAATAATAAACTTTCGTTGGTATTAAAATATTTTATTCGAAGCAATTTTTTTTCCGTTTTCTTTATTGTTTCATTTATTGTAATTGTTTTCGCAAGAAAATAAAAAAAAAAGACAAGAAAAATAATAAAATTATTTTTTAAAATTAAATTAAATTTAAATTTGAATAAAAGTATCTTATTTATAATTGAAATAATATAATTTCGAATAAAAATTGGCACTTAAATAATTACAATTATTTTTTAATTATTTAGTTAAAAGGGCAAAATTTTCTACATAATTAAAATGTATCATTTTCTTTTCTTTAATTTATTTCAATTTTCAAATAAACAAATTAATTACAATTTTCAAATTAATGGCAAATTTATTTTTAATTTTCCAATTAATGAACAAGAAGATCAGTAATAATTTTTTTTTTGTGCAATTAATTACACGAAGAGTAGCTACATCGTCATTTGATGACGAATATAAAAATATAAATTGAGAAAAAAAACTTGGCGAAAACTTCCAAATGTAGGTCACTGTAAGATGAAAAATTCGTGTGTAATACATGAAAACAAATAAAAATTGTCGACGATACGTAATTGCTGTGTATGTGTGTGTGAAAAAAACCAAAAATAATTTTTCTTACATAGTCTTCATTTTTAAATTTAATTAGTTTGGAAAGAAATTTTTCCTTTCTTTTTCAATATTACAAAAAATGAAAATAACAAATATGTATTGTAAATGAAACTGAAAGTAAAAATAATAGTCGAAAAATTGCAAATGAAAATAAAAAGCAAAAAATGAAAAAAAAAAGTAGAAAATCTCGATGAAAATAATTTACACTTCTAAAGACGTCTTCTTAAATTTCTCTTTTGGTAAATCCGACTCTCTTGTGTCCAAGTAGGTGAGCTATAGAAATTTTAGAAGAAAAAAAAAAACTATTATTAATGAATATTCTGGAAAATTTTATTTTATTGTTTTTTATTTTATTTTTTTAAGTAGAATTAATTGTATATTTAACTAAAGATCTCAAAGCTGTATTATAAATAACTTACGGAGACAACTGGAGCCTCAAAATTAATTTGTCGAAACTCAGGAACAAATGTTAGTAAAAAGGCACAGTAAATTAGCACAAGTATCCATTCTGAAATAACACTAGCAACGTGCCATTCCCAACCACCATCTGTTGGTTGCCATTTTTTGTAATCTTTCCCTGTGATAAGTACAAAAAAAATTAATAATATAATTCATATATTTTTTTCTCTCCATTTTTTTTCTCTTCAAATAACTCTAACTGAAACAATAGACTTAAATATATATAAATTATATATGACAATTTTTTAATATACTGACATTATGAACAAATTTTTATTAACAAATTTTATTATTGACAAATTTTTATTGTTAACAAATTTTTATTATTAACAAATTTTATTATTGACAAATTTTTATTGTTAACAAATTTTTATTATTAACAAATTTTATTATAAAGAAATTTTTATTATTAACAAATTTTTAATATTAACAAATTTTATTATTATCAAATTTCCATTATTAAGAGTTTTGTTAATAACAAATTTTTCTTATTAATAACAGTAAATTCTATATTATTAATGAATTTTAATCATTAAGAAACTTTATTCTTAACCAGTTTTTGTCATCAAGAAACTTTATTATTAACAATTATTATTGTTAACAAATTTTTATCATTAAGAAACTTTATTATTAACAAATTTATATTATTGACAAACTTAATCATTAACAAATTTTATCTACAATCAAATTTATATAATATAATTTTTCAAATGTTTATATAAAAAAAAAATTCTTTCTGGGGATCAATTTTTTCCGTATGTTTTAACGATTTTTTCTGGGATCAATATAATATTGTGTGTGTGTATGTATATTTTAAAATATATTCAAATTATAACTGTATATTTTTCTGCAAAACGTATGTATATGTATATTTTCAAATTTTTGCAATTAAATATAATGAGTAATATAATTACATAGGATTTTTCTTTTTTTTTTTACAAAAACAAATTGTTTCGGCGGTGAAAAATTCTTCTCTTTGATTATTTGAAAATTGTTGAAAAAAATTTGAGTAAAATTACTCACTTTTGATTGTTTATTTACAATTATATAAATTTTATGTAATTATATATTATGATAAAAATTATTACTGTTGATAAATAATAATTTCGGGAAAATTAATTTTGTTAAATAATAATTGCAGAAAAATTATTAAATAATAATAATAATTAAATAATAATTAGGAAAATAATAATTTCAGGAAAATTATTATCGATAATTAATAATTTCAGAAAAATTATAATTCATTAAAATAATAAATTATAATTTATTATACCTCTATATTTAATTGAAAAAAAAATCTAAAAGAAAATAAGAAAAATCTCTTCTGAGTAGTTGAAATCTACTGCGCAAATGTATGTTTAAAAAAATATATATAGTAATAATAGGCTTTATGCGTAAAATAAATAAATAAATAAGAGTAAATTTTATTAATCGCACATCAGAAAAAAGACAAAAGTAAATAATATAAATCTATATTTTTCTCTGTATGATTCCCGCCTGCTTCTGTAAAACTCTATAATGATATCTTTTTATTACTATATATATAATTATAGCGAAAAATATATTATATATTATAAAAATTTTGAAATTGATTTTTTTTTTCATTGGGCGGCCTATGTAGATTCTTTTTCTCGACATAAAAAATCAATGCCGTGTATTTGAAACAAAAAAAAAACAAAAATTATGTACTCTTCTATAATGTTTTAATCGTAATTAGTCAACTTCGGACTTTTTTACGATATATAGAAAACAAACATTTTATGTATATATTTCACGATGTTATATATTAAATGTTTATTAAAAAAAACCAAAAAAAAACTGACCAAGTTCCACAAAAATTTGTGAAATTTATTAAACCTTCTCGATTTAAATTGTTTTATTCATTTTTTTTTATTTGTACTTTTGGTTGTATTTTTTTGGACTTTTATCTTTTTACACTGCAATCGATTAGTTTGTTTTAAAAAAATATATTATTTTTATTAACTTCAATTTATTTTGAGAGAAAAAAAAATCATAGAAGTAAAAATGTTTTTCTTCTACATTTTGATTTCAAATTTAGTTGGAATATTTGTTTTAGTTTCAAACCATTTGAAGGTATTTAATTTATTTTTCAAAAATGATAATATTCAAATTATTAATAAATCTAATTTTTTATGATTATAACTTTTTTGTAATTGCAATTTTTCAATCGTAATTTTTTGTAATTCTAATTTTTTATAATTAATCTTTTATAAAATTGCAGTTTTTTTTATAATTTTAATATTAAAGAATTATAATTTTTAGTAATTCTAATTTTTTATAATCGTAATTTTTTATAATTTTAATTTTGAAGAATTATAACTTTTAGTAGTTTTAATTTTTTATAATTTTAATTTTGAAAAATTCTAATTTTTTATAATTTTAATTTTGAAAAATTCTAATTTTTTATAATTCTAATCTTTTATAATTACAGTTTTTTTTAATAATTTTAATATTAAAGAATTATAATTTTTAGTAATTCTAATTTCTTATAATCGTAATTTTTTATAATTTTAATTTTGGAAAATTCTAATTTTTTGTAATTCTAATCTTTTTATAATTGTAATTTTTTATAACTCTAATTTTGAAGAATTATAATATTCAGTAATTTTGATTTTTTATAATGTTAATTTTGAAGAATTATAATTTTTAGAATTCTCATTTTTTACAATTATTATAAAAATAATTGAAATTGATACAAAAAAATATTAGAAAATTTTTACAAAAAAATTCTCATAGAAAGAATGTTTTATTTTAATTGAAACTTTATTTTTGGGTTTTCATGAAATTTTAATTTAATTATTAATTAAAAATAATTACCTTTAAACTCTAATGTGGAAAAGTAGCCAGGGACAATCGTAGCGACTGTTAAAATTATAGTAAGAGTCGAGAGACATGCCCGAACGTAAGTAATTGTCCAACCATTAACAGCAAAAATCATTTTATAACTGAGATAAGTCTGAAAAAAATGTTAATTTCATTTTTTTTTGTTTATATAATTTTTATCAACTAATGACTAATTTAGTTCAAATTTAATTTGAACTTAAATTTTTAATTTATTAATAAATTAATAAATTTAAATTACAGTCTACTTTCTCCCATTATTATCTAGCTTATTAATTAATTAGTTTACCTAATATTGAATAATTAATTTTATAAACGCAGTTCAATAATTATTATAATTAAAATAATTATTTAACTGTTATAAATGTAACAGTTAATAAAAATAATGTTATTATTATTGTTTATTACAAATAAACTTATTATAAATAACTTATTATAAATAAACTAATGTAGGACTTAATAACATTAGTCTGAAGAAATTTGGAAAAATAATAAATAATTAATTGAAAATTATTTCAGTGAGTGATTATCTTAAAAAAAATTAATTACTATAATAATTAACAATTATTAATTTCAAGAAACTTGGAAAAATAATAAATAATTAATAATTTTTCATAAACTGATAATTTTGATAATAAAATATTAAAATCAAATTTTATTATCAGCAATTTTTTATTATTATGGGATGTGAAATTTTTTGTTACCTGTAAACAAAAATATGCAGTTCCAGCTGTGAAGCAGGTAATTGCGCCAACCATATGGGCACCAACGACTCGCGCTTCTTGAAAATTGGCTAAAATATCAAGTCCAAAACATGACAAAATTCCGCACATTGCCGTTAATCCGGTTAATTTTTGAGTAATTAATTGTTGCCCTCTTTCCTTGCGCCATTGTTCAACTTGTCGATGTCTGATATACACACAGCAACCAACTGTCAAAAGAAAACTTTTATGTTTTTTGCAAAAATAAAATTTTTATTTTCTTTTTTTTGCAAAATCAAAATTTTATACTTAAATATTAAATATTTTGTTAAGTTATTTTTGTTAATTTATTAATTTTTCCCTGACCCTAAAGAATATTCTGCGATTTACTCTAAAAATGATTAGATACTCAAAAAACCGCTCTATTACATTTAATTACAAACTCTTTTAATTGTACAATTATACCAAAAAAGCAATAAATTTTTTTTAAATAAATATTTAATCATTTTTATTTTTCCGTAGGAATTAAGATTTTCAAAAAATTTCAAATTCAAATCTTTATGAAATTCAACAACTTATAATAATTTAAATTTACACGGAGAGAGAATATATATTAAATTTTGTAAAAATATTTTCAAATTGGGGAAAAAGTGCGACAAAGCGAAATTTTGATATAAAAATTACTAAACTTTAAAAAAACTTATATGTGAAATTTAGTATAATTATATCAAATATCAAGAATATTAATTAAATTCTAATATAACTTTAATAAATTTCACATAAGTTTTTTTAAAGTTTAGTAATTTTTATATCAAAATTTCGCTTTGTCGCACTTTTTCCCCAATTTGAAAATATTTTTACAAAATTTAATATATATATTCTCTCTACGTGTACATAAAATAAAAAAAAAATTAAATTATTTACAAAAGTTTAAATAAAATCCTTCCCAAGAATTCAATTATTTTAACAAGTATAATAAAATTTTTCACATAAATTTAATTATTTAAAAAAAATGTAATAAAATTCGCTCTAAGAATTCAATTATTTTTATAAATAATAAAATTTTTCATAGGATTTGAATTATTTTTAATAAAATTTTAAATAAATTCCTCGAAAAATGGAATTTTTTTTTGTAAGAATTTAATTACATTTCACGAATATAATGAAATTATTCGCTGAAATTCAAATCTACTATTTTAATCAAATTTCTTAAATGAATTCAATTATTTTAAAAAAAATGTAATAAAATGCGTTGCAAAAATTCAATTATTTTCATAAAGAACAAAATTCTTTACAGGACTTCAATTATTTAACAAAAATTTAATAAAAATTCGTTGCAAGAATTCAACTATTTTCATAAATAATAAAATTCCTCATAGGATTTCAGTTATGTGAAAAAAAAATTTAATAAAAATTATTTACAAGAATTTAATTATTCTCCTAAATAATATAATTCTTCACAGGATTTCAATTATTTTAAATACAATTTTAAGTAAATTCTTTGAAAAATACAATTATTCTTGAAAATTTTATTAAAATTCGTCGAAAAAATTGAATTATTTAAAAATTTGTCTATAAAATTCTTTATGAGAATTCAATTTTAAGAAACATTCATTTATTCAAGAATTTTTTCATTTTTGTATTTAAATTAAAAATTTTTAAATAATTGAATTCTTGTAGAATTTTCTAATTAAAATTAATTTAAATATAAATTTCCCGTTATATACATAATAATTTTTGATAATAATTGAATATTAAAAACATTATAACATGAATTTTCAAAAATAATTGAATTTTGAAAAGGTTTTAAATTAAAATCATTGAAAATATATCTATAGAATTATTTTTTTTTAAAAAGTTTAATAGCATTTTTTTTTAAATTATTTCAAGTTTTTATTTTCGAAATATTTAATTAAAAAATATTTCCGAATAATCAAATTTTGTAAAATTGAATTGTAATCAAGTGGATTTGAAAATTCTCAAAGAACTTTTGCAAAAAGTATTAAAAATAATATTGATAATTAAATTTTTTTGAAGAATTTGAATAATATTTTTGAAAATAATTACATTTTTCAAAAAATTTACTTAAAATGGTATTAAAAATAATTGAAATCCTGTGAAGAATTTTATTATTTAGAAGAATAATTGAATTCTTGCAACGAATTTTTATTACATTTTTTTTAAATAATTGAAATCTTGTTAAGAATTTTATTACATTTTTTTTTAAATAATTGAATTCTTTTGAGAAATTTTATTAAAATAGTAGATTTTGAAAAAATATTTAAATTTTAGCGAAGAATTTCATTATTTGTGAAATGTAATTGAATTCTTGTAAAACAAAATTTTGAAAATAATTTAATGTTTGCTTTAAATTTTATCAATACTTGTTTTTAAATAATTGAAATCTTTTGGAAAATTTTATTAGAATAGATGATACTATTGAAAATGATTGAATTGAGGAAAATTTTTAAAAATAATTGAAATTTTGTCCAAGAATTTTAATAAAATTTTTGAAAATAATTGAATTTTGGAAAAGAATTTTATTATTTTTAAAGATAATTGAAATTTTAACGTTGCATTTGTAAAAATTTTTGAACAGAATTGAATTTCTGCGAAGAATTTTATTACTTTTGAAAGTAAATTGAATTTCTGCAATCATTTTGTAACTTTTTCTAAATTCAATTTTTTCTAGTATTTTTATAAAAATTTCTGACTTTTCCCTGATTTCCCTGACCTATAACAACCCCGGAAATATTAAAATATTTTTAAAATAAAAAACTTGCACAATTTCCATGGAAACTCCACGAAAATTCCATGGAATTTTTCATTTATTTATTTTTGTTTCTATTTATTTATTTCCCCCATTTTATCTATTTATTAAAAAAAAATATTTTTCATATTCAAACATTCACTTGTCATTTTTTTTTCTACATCCATTATAAATTGTGTAATCATAATTATTTTCCAATTTTTATTTTTTTGTTTTTTCATGAAACTTACGTAAAAGAGCAGCAATATTAAGAAATTGTGCAAAAATGCAGGATTCAGGAGATAATGTTCCTGTCTCCGATATGTAAGGGAAGCCAGGTACTACGTGATCCCACTGAACTGATATAGTGTATCTGAAATATGACACTTTATTAAACATACAATAGTTGAGTGATAAGTTTATATACACAAAAGCATTTTTTTCTTCTGAACGTCTCGTTAAAGAAAAATCGAAAAATAATTCCATAAAAAAAACCAAAAATTATCTCTATCACAATTAATAAGCATATTAATCTAATTATTGGAAATCAATTTCAAAAAAGCGGAAATTCTTTTCTTTAACTCAAAAAACGATTTTATTTTATTGAATGATTTTAATAATAATCAGGGTTGCCACAGGTCAGGGAAGTCAGGAAATTCAGGGAAAATCAGGGAAAGTAAAATTGGTCAGGGGAATTAGGGAAAACACTGCAAAAAATGGCGTCTAAAAATAAGACGCTTAGACGTTTATAAACGTCTTATTATGTAAATAAGCGTCTTATTTGAGCGTCTTAAATGAAAAACATAACCTCCAAATACATGCATTTTAGAAGGCAAATAAGACGCTTATAAACGTCTTAAATGTGACCACGTAAACGTCTTAAACAAAGACGCTCTTTTTTTACAGTGAAGTCAGGGATTTTTAGTAAAAGTACTGGAAAAAATTGAATTTTAAAAATTCATGAAAAAACTCTAAATTTTAATGATTTTTTTTGTTTGCCTCGTAAACTATGAAATTACCACGAATTTTAATACAAAACCTTGAATTTTTTCTATTTCAGACAATAATTTCTTTTTAAATAACTTAATTTTACAAGAACTATCATAAAATTTTGACGTCTATAAATTATTTAATGAATCATTTTTATAATTTTCATAAATACTAGATTGCTAAAAGAATTTTAGTTAAAAATACTAAAAAAAATTGAATTTTGGAAAAGTTACAAATAATTCCAGAAATTCAATTTATTATTTTCAAAAATAATAAAATTTTTCGCAGAAATTCAATTATATTCAAAAATTTTTAAAAATTCTGGTCATTTCAATTATATTTTTAAAAATAATAAAATTCTTCTCCAAAATTCAATTAAGTTCAAAATTTTTTTAAAAATTCTCGTCAAAATTTAAATTATCTTTATAAATAATACAATTCTTCAACGAAATTCAATTATTTTTAAAAACTCTAATAAAATTCTTGGCAAAATTTCACAGGAATTCAATAATTTACAAGATTTTTAATTAATTTCTTCGAAATAAATCAATTATTTTCATAAATAATAAAATTTTCACATGAGTTCAATTATTTAATAAAGAAAATTTCATAAAATTTTTCGAAAAATATCAATTATTTAAAAAGATTCTTATAAAATTCGTCGCATGAATTCAATTATTTAAAAAAAATTTATCAAAGTTCTTTTCAAGAATTCAATTATTTTTATAAAGAATAAAATTCTTCACCGAAATTCAGTTATTTTTATAAACTTGAATAAAATTCGTTGGAAGAATTAAATTATTTTCAAAAGGAATAAAATTCTCCGCAAAAATTCAATTATGTTCAAAAATTTTTTAAAAATTCTTGTCAAAATTTCGATTATCTTTATAAATAATAAAATTCTTTAATATTCAATTATTAAAAAAAAATTTTTTATAAATTCTCGTCAAAATTTCAATTATTGTTTTAATTATTAAAATTTTTCTTCAAAATTCAATTATTTTTAAAAACTTGAATAAAATTCTTGTTAAAATTTCACAGGAATTCAAGAATTTATAAAATTTTTAATAAATTTCTTTAAAATAATTCAATTATTTTGATAAATAATAAAATTTTCACATGAATTTAATTATTTAATATATACAAAATTTCATAACATTTTTCGAAAAATATCAATTATTTAAAAAGATTTTTATAAAATTCGTCGCTTGAATTCAATTATTTAAAAAAAATTTAACAAAGTTCTTTTCAAGAATTCAATTATTTTTATAAATAATAAAATTCTTCACTGAAATTCAATTATTTTAGAAAAATTTTAATAAAATTTTTGGGAAAAGTTTTAATTATTTTCATAAATAATAAAACTTATCGCAGGATTTTAATTAATTTTTGATACAATATTTTAATCAAATTCCTCGATAAATGTAATTATTCTTAAAAATTTAATTAAAATTTGTCAAAATAATTGAATTATTTAAAAATTTGTTGATAAAATTCTTTATGAGAAGTCAATTTTAACAAACATTCCATTATTCAATAAATTATTTATTTTTTAATTTAAATAATTGAATTCTTCTAGAAATTTCTAATAAAAAAATTGATTTAGAAATGAATTACCGAATAATCGATTTATTATTGCAACGAATTTTATTACATTTTTTTCAAATAATTGAATTTTTTTGAGAAAATTTACTACTTTTTAAAATTAATTGAATTCTTGCGAAGGATTTTATTAGGATTTTTGTGAATAATAAAATTTTTTTTGAAAAATTTCATGGTAATTTAATTTATAACAAAAAAATTATTGTTTAATTGCAAAAAGGTTCGAATTTGAATGTATTGAAAAATTTTAATTCCTACGGAAAAATAATAATGATTAAATATTTATTTAAAAAAGAAATTATTTATGTTTTTGAATAATTTTACAATTAACTAAATTTGTAAATAAATGTAATAGAACATTTTTTTGAGTTTTTAATAATTTTTAGAGTGAATCAGAATATTTTTTAGGGTCAGGGAGAAAGTGAGAATTTTGTCTGGAAATCAGGGAAAAGTCAGGGAATAATAAAATTAAATATTTGTGGCAACCCTGTTTATATTAAATGTTAATTAATTGATTTATTTACCTATTATTATTATTTAATAATTTATTTCAATAATAAATACTAATAATAGTAAAAATAATAATAATAACTTGTCTTAAAAAATGATTTGACAATTAAATTTTATTTTCGCGGAATTTGTCAAATTTTTAAACATTTTAATGACCTACGTGATAATAAAAGTGACAGGGATCAAAATAAAGAGGCTGAGTGGTAGCACATGCAGATTCTCCCACGTCATTTTTAGACATCCGGAAATCTGAAATTTAGCTGTTTTAATAATTTAAATATTTGTTTATTTTTAATCTCTCTTTCTTTCTCTTTCTCCACTTGAAATGAATTTTTGAAATGTCGTGAATAAATTGCAAAATAAAAGTGGCACTCTAAATTACATACATATAAATAAAATTGTTTTACAAATTTTTTCATCTATTTCTCTTTTTTTAAAAAAAAAAGAAATAGTTTTAAAATAAATTTGAAATTAATTGATAAAAAATTTACATTATTATATTTTTTAAAAGTAAATAAATAAAATATGAATCGCATTATTTAAAATTTAACAATAAATATGGAAATTATCAAATTAATTAATTAGAATTATTTTTCTAAGTTTTATTTATTTTTTTCAAAAGTATTTTATTGAAAAATGAGAATTTATTTTCTGGAGAAAATGATAAGTAATTTTTTTTCTTTATAATATTTACCGTTCAGGATGTAATTTAGCACTATGGGAATTTTCGATGTTTTTTATTCATTAAATATTATAATTTTTTTTTGAAATAAATGAAAAAAGAAGGAAAATAAAACACAGTTTGTTGAAGAAAGGTTTTGAAGAACGTACACTTTGCCATAGGCAGTTTCAAATGACTGTTCAAGAGAACATCACATATACACTTATACAAGTCTAAATGAGTGCGAAACAATCTGTCAGTTATTGATAACCTGCACAATTACACTTTGATATCGCGAACGTGCACTTCATTCGTTTAAGACATTTCACATTTATTAAAAAGAATTTCTCTGCGATTTACAAAGAAATTTTGCATATTTAATCAATTGTGTATGATAATTTTATTAATAACAATTCTATTATTTAAATAACGAGAATCGAGGAGATTTGTATAAAAAACAAATATAAAATCTTTTTTTCATTTATTGCATTCTTTATTTATTCTTTTTTTAATTTTTAATATTTAATATTACAGATTTGATATATAAATAATTATTTTTTTGTTGTAATATTTTCTCAATTTCAGTTGAAAAAATACAGAAGTATTTTAATTTATTATTATTTTTTCTGCTTTACTTTCCTTTGTTATTTCTTTCTATTTTATTATTCTTCAGTTTTTTCTCAATTTTATTTTTATTTATTTTTTTGATTTTCAATCTGCAAATTATAAGTAATTTATTTAATTAAATTAATTAAAATTAGTAAATATTGAAAATAGATGAAAATTTATAAAGAAAAATATTTATATTAATATTATAATGGAAAACAAAAGAGACAAAATAGTTTCTCTTTTCCTAATTGAATACGTGATCTTAAGGAATTATCACAGTATTGATGATCGATTGAATGTTTAATATTATGCCAGGTTCGATGATGAGCTGTACTCACTTCTAATTGGAAACAATATAAAATAGAGACACAATTATTAGAACAATTGTTATATTACTGGAGCAATTAATTTGTCAGATATGATTTCAATCTTTTGTTATTATTTGTTTATTTCAATAAAAAATAATAATTAATAATAATTAGAACTGCAATCTTAATTATTATTATAATTTTAATTGAAAATAAATTATTTCCAAAATTAGAAAATATTATTCATTTTCTTAATTAATTATTTCAATTAACTAATTATTAATTAACTCATTATTATTATTATAATTATTATTATTATTTTCAATATTATTATTATTAATTATTATTATTACTACTGTAACTGTTCGAATTTAGACGATATTATTTTAATATTTGTTTAAAATTAATATTAAACATTTATTTTTTTACATTTTTATTTTATTTTTATACTTTTGTTTATTAACTAAAAAGATTTTGAAAGCATTGATTTTTTAGATAATAAATAAAAATTATTTAAGACAAAGAAGGTTATAAAATTTATTCTAATTAAAATATTTGCAAAAATGTTTTTTTCGGTAACCGGACAAGAAACAAAAAATCTAAAGTGAATGAAATCCAAAAAAGGAAAAAAATAGTTTCATTTTGGACTTATTTTTTGGATTTTTTGTCCTGGTCAAAAAGTCGAAAGAAATTAAAAATCCAAAGAATCCAGAACAATGAAATTGTTCTTGTTTTGAGTTCCTCATTTCGATGACTGTGAATCAAAAGTATTTCTAAACTTAAAATTTTTAATTTCTGAAAATAATTAAGTTAATGGAGTAAATTAATTGGAATTATATTAAAAAAAGTAACTGAATTTTTGTTCAAAATTTTACCAAAATTGTTGAAAATAAAATTGTATTTCTTGGAATAGTTGTTTTAGAAATTTTATAGAATAATTAAAAATTTTTCTAGAAATTTTTTTATTTATGAAAATAATTGAATTATTTTTGTCAAGAATTTTATTATTTATGTAAATAATTAAAATCCTGCGATTTTCACATTAACATTTTAAATTTCGATTTTATTGCATAAAAAGTAAAAACGTGCCTTTTTCACATGTTTCATTATTTATTTTCGACCTTTTTTATTTATTTTGGATTTTTTTAACTTTGGACTTTTTTTCTTGGATTTTTCGGTCTGAACTTTTTGGATTGGATTTTTTATCCTGTAATCGTTTTTTTCAGAGTAATCTTTAATAATTAATTATTAATTTAACTTTTTATTCATTTTCCATTTTCGGTTTTCTTCGCTTTGTTAAATTAAATATTAATTAGGATCAATCAAAATCAATTACAATTAATTTATTAATTAATTATCAATTGAACTTTATGTAAATAAATATTTTAATGTAATATGTGTTTATTTATTTAAATAGCTATATTTATTTTTATTTACATTTCTTTAACAACTTGTGGTTTATTTGAAAGAATTTGTTAAAAAATAATTATTGCTTCTAATATTTTAATTTATTTTCGAATTTATTATAATTTAGTTTTTGAATTTTCTCTTTTATTCTACCCGCAAAATAGATGCAATTTACTAATTATTATTTAATGTTTAATATAATAATTGTGTATTAATTAAATATTTTATTATTGTTGTTTTAATTGATTATTATTATTATTATTATTATTATTATTATTATTATTATTATTATTATTATTATTATTATTATTATTATTATTATTGTTATTTTAATTGATTATTAATAATAATTATTACTGTTTGAATTCAATAATAATAATTATCATTAATTTCCTCTTCTTAATAATTATTCATTGAATTAATTTTTAATTATTTAATTAAAAATTTTAAAAAGTACGAAATAAATAAATATTCATTTAATAATTATGTATTTATTTTTTTATTTACTATTAAATTTTATTAATTATTATAATTTCTAATATATTATTTCCATTTTTCTTATATTTTGTATCATTGGAATTTTCTTTTCTTTTTTTAAATTTTCTTTGCAATGAATAATTTAGTAATATTATTGATAATTATTGCAATTATTAATTTTTCGGTCATATTTATTTACTGAAATGAAAATGCAGTTATAATAGAGGATTTATAAAAATTTAATTTCTACTGTTTTAGTTAATAATAATTATTATTATTATTAACTTCCCCTTTTTAATAATTATTTATTGAAATAATTTTATTTTATTTAATTAATAATTAATAAAAGTAGAAAATAAATAAATAATTATTTTTTTAATAATTATGTATTTATTTTACAATTTACTGTTATTTATTTGATCAATTATTATAAAATTACTAATATTATTTCCTTTTTTCTTATTTTTTATCATTAAACTTTTCTTTTCTCTTTGTGAATTCTCTTTAGAATGAGTAATTTATTAATATTATTGATAATTATTGCAATTCTTAATTTTTCGGATATATTTATTTACTGAAATGAAAATGCAGTTATAATAGACTATTTAATTTCTACTGTTCTAGTTAATAACAATTATTAAAATTGTTTTTAAATTGAAATAAACAGGAGAAAGAAGAAAATGGTAAAAATTCAAATTTGAATATAATCGATATATCGAATCGCAGTGCGATAACTCTCGATATCTTGTAAGAAACTTGGCTTCGCCGCCGCAAGAGTGCGCGTCAGTTTGTTACAAGATGGCGGGTGAGTGAGTGCCTGTGGATGGGACGAGGTTGCCCAAAAACACGAGGGATTTTTCCGCTAACCCGTGGTGTTTGTGGGTTTCAGATATTTCCTATCTCCAGAATGAGGACCTTGAAGACTCAATGGATGGTAAGCATTCAATTAATTCACCTGTATTATTGTCAATTTTGAGATGCAGGAAGTCGGTCCGCGCGGTGCACAGATCCCAAGTTTCTCGAAGCATGCCAATCGGTGTTATTTCCAACGTAATATCTCTCAACTCACTGTATTATTGCGTAAAATTCGTTTACTTTCTTGTTTCGAGGTTAGGTGGGACCGCGTGTGTTGGCCAAAAAAAAATGAACGAAACGAAAAAGTCGGGTCGATAATCTTGCATCGTTATTATAGTGTTGTAAATGTCAATGCCAATATCGGACATTGTTTAAAGTTTGTTCTTGTGGATTAATTGATCATTATTTGCCCTCCGTTGGTGTCATCAGTGAATTATTTTCAATATCGGTAAGTTTTTTTTTTTCAATTGTAAATTTTTAGAATTTATTTTTCTCCAAAAGCATGCTTTTGCTGAAAATTCAATTATACTGCGACATTGAAAGCGCCACCTACCGGGGGTTTCCTTCTTGTTTACCTCGAGAGAATATTATTCAGAAAGAGTGGGATATAACGAGAAAAAAGACAAAAAAAAAAAGAATGAAAAAAAAATTGGCAGGGGAAGTCAACACGCGTTGCGTAGATCTGTCAGACGAAATATGATTTACTTTGTGAGTCCATATTACTCTGGATAAGATGAAATTTTATTGTCGGCTGTGCTAAAAAAACTTTTTATCTATAGTCTGTAAAAAGATTCGTTTTTATAAGTTTGCGTGTGTATTTTCAATTATGCCCGAGTTTTATCATTTCTGTAAGTTTGTTTACCAATTTATTATTATTATTATTTTGGGAATATTTGATTTCTCGTTTTGCTAATTTATATTCAATGTCAAATTTAATACATGATGAATGATGGAAAAAAGTTAGGTTAACCCGGAGACGAATAATGAATTTTTCTTTGTCTTATATTGTGTGACAAAAGAAACTTTTATTCGTACTTGTAAACGTTACTAATTTTTTCGATACTAATTAACATTATTTTTTGGTACGATTAGTAATTATAGGAAAGGAATAATGAAGAAAAATAATTTGTTTCATTTTTTGCAAAAATTGAAAGTATTTTAGACAAAGAAATACGTTATTGCAAATAAGAATAATGTCGAAAATAATATTTAAGACCCTTAATGGACATTTGAGAAACTTGGTGAAATATAATATTATTGACTTTCATCAAGACAAAGAATGTCAACAATGTCTGTTTTGAGGTTAAGTCAACTGAAACGTTTCACAAAAGTTTGAAATCGAGAACGAAGAATTTCCTGTTGTTTCAAAATTGACTAAAAAAAATTGTGTATTTTATTTGTTAATATTTATATTTTAATATTATATTTAAATTCTTATTGTTTGCCAAAATATTTTACTATTTATATGTTTTAATTTTTGACAATTTTATACTCCATAATTGTTTCTAAATGAAAAAAAATTATTTCGTTTTGAAATTAATTTTATTAGTTAATTTCAGAATT